ATGATGTTTTACCCACGGGTGTAATTTCCTATGCGGACATGTCCCCCCACTTTCAAATTCGTTTGTTTGTGACTTTTAATCGCACGCAGTCATCGCCACGGCACGGAGGAGCAGGACCGAGACTGTGTGAAATATTGACTATAAAAATACATTGCGACACAGTCAGTGATGAAACGCCAGAAACAGCTTGACTAATGTCATCATGGATGAAAAGAAAGAAAGGAGATGTGAGTTGGTTGATTCAGGAAATTAGCTAAATATTAAATGAAGAACAGTCTGTGTAGCTTACTAAAAAAACATTCTGTGTAGGCCTAACGAGTCAAACCGGAATTCAAACCGCAAAATTTTCTGTCAGCAATGTATGACAACAAGTGCTGTCAAAGCATATACGACTTTTTGTCCAGCTTTAACGTTTTAAAGTATTTAAAGGCAATCCATCAGTTCTTTCTTTCTGTCATCATTTAGCTAGGATTATGATCACGCTCTTATTCATGCAAATGCTTTAAAGTTTTACCATTCCTTCGTGACAAGACAAAAGAGAACGCGCTTTCAGTTAATGTCCTCCTGACACACACACACACACAACGTACAGAAAGACGCGCGCCAGTGTCGAGTTCTCTCTCGCGCATTAACGAACAATAACACACACATGTATGCCAGAATGTCCATTTTGTCGAGTATCCTCACAAGAACAGTCTTAAATAAGTAAAATAAAATCTTAAATGGAAGTAAATAGTATTGAGAGAATGAGATGCGTGAGATCCTGTCAGCAGCGGCAGATTTTAAAGTGACAGGACATGCAGGAGCCATTCTATCTGAGTAAAGTTAAACTAAAGAACAGAGAAAATTATGAGAAGGATTAATCTATATTTCTTTTATAATTTATGCAGTGTGGACTGTTAAATAACCTTATTCAAATTATGTTTGGTACAGATAAATATGACATTTATTATGGGTTTAATGAGGATTGTCTTAAGTTGATTGTCTATATTTTTCATGACTGCAGCGATGAGCGATGTAGCCAATCACAGACATATGTGATGATTTATTGAACGCAATGGCCAATCAGAAGCATTTACGATGAAGAAGCATTTACTCCACACCGCTCAAAAGAAAGTAACATAGAAAGTAATAGAAATTAACTAAGTTAGTTGAGAACGTCAGTTATATAACGACCCACGTATTAAAAATGGTTGTGTTTAAATCGGGCTCAGGCTCAGACGACATGCACTTTTGACGACGTCCACTCGCTTTAACCTCCTCACCCACAGGTTCTGCTGGATAGATTAACTTTTTTCTGAAGGAAATCGATAAACCTACACCTTTTGCTGTATATCTGGCGGCGCAACCCCAAACACAACATGTTTTCGCCATCGTTTCAACTTTGATCAACAACAATGATTTTAACTATGTAACTGTTCAGTTGCCGGCTGGATCTCTTCAGTTAGTCAATAGAAGCCGCTCGCGTTCCGCCACCCGGAAGTATCGCGGTGCCTATTGTTTACAAACATTCTGAAATGCCCTATTACATGTGATTCTGACATGATGTCACTAAATGCACTGCTCCTCTCCGCGGCGCTGGTATCCGCGTCCTTGAGCAGAGCGTTCAAGGGCAGGGTGTTGGCAGCGTGCGTTCAAGGGTGGCAGGGTGTTTTGGGGGCGTGGCTTTGTAAGGATCCCAGATGGGAGGGGGTGGGAGTGAATGAAATAATGAGCTGTGTTGATTGCAGCTCTGAGAGGACTACAGACACTCGATTTTTATACTTTCTTTTTCAGAGTACTTACATTTTAATTGACCCTTCGCTAAGCCACGCCCGAAAACCGCCACTGGCCAATCATGTCTTAGCAACCGTAACTATGCGCGGGAAGTCTGGCAAGCTTTCGAACGAGGGAACATGCTGAAGCATTGTGTGTATGGATTGTGCAAATCTGATACCGGTATACTAAAAGTTTGGACGGGGGAGAGGAATTGTTTTCCTTCCAGAAAATCTAAAAGCCAAGGGGAGAAATGATTGGCATGATCTAGCACCTATGTGCGAAACCCATTCTGGTAAATGTCGACATGCTTAACAAAAACACCTATTGCTTGTAAATATTGACGGTTCTTTGGTCATAATGATAACGTAAAATAAGACGATTAAAGAGACTAGACAAAGGCTCTCTGACATACTTTAAAATATATTTTAGCATTTTGTTAATCGACGTCCTACTAACGTTACCCCTTAACTTAACCCAATCCGATCGCGGCTCTCCCGGTATTAGTGTTATTCCACAAGATTTATTGATAAGCTGTTTGATTTATAATTATTACGATTATTTTCACATACCCTGCTGTGTATGAACATAGCTGTTCCTCAATTTGTGTTTCCCATTTGAACGGTCGGTGTATGAGGCGCTGCTGCTTGCGCTGGGACTATAACGTTAGGCTTTAACTTCAATTTTTAAGAAATTATTCTCTAATCGGTTGCATATAATGTCGTGAATATATCCCTCGAATGCATACTGTAGTCCCTTTTGTCTTGCTCTCTCAGATATTTCACTTGTTCGCCGAAAATTACTAATTATCTCATTGGGAATGTCTGACAGCCGGTGCATCCACACTATAGTAGATGGGCCAGCCGCGAAAGCTTGACAGGCATAGCAACAGTAACTAGGGAGGGCTGGGCTTAGCGAAGGGTAAATTATGTATTGGTATACAGTATATAGACAGTTTAAACAAATTCGGGGAAAAGCCCACCTAACAAAATGCTTTCTTTGTGTCCAGATTTGACGAATGAAAAATGAATTATGTCTGAATAAAAACTGAATAAAAATAAAAATATTTATAAACATATTGCAGGTGATAAATGGTGCATAATTTAGTGATGCTATTAAAATAAATGTTAAAGGGAAAATATTTATATATTTATTTATTTAACATGTTTGTGTGCTTTAAAAGTACCATTTTGGCAATGAGAACATTTCTGAACCAAATAAAGATTGAGATGTGTTCTGGTAACTGGCGTGTTTATTGAACCAATCAGATCAGAGTAAAATGATTGTCAGCGAGAAGCTCATCTGATTTGGCTACATGATGAAGGTGGACCCGCCCTCCTCTTCTCGCTTGCGAAACTCAGTTTGTGAGAGAATCGTGCCAAAACTGGAAGCGCAGGAAAAAGAGAGACGCAACTGTACAGATCGGGTTATTTCGGGTTATTTCAAATATTTACTGAGTTTTGTTTAATTTTTTTGTGAAGCACTGCAGAAAAAAGTTCACAGAGATGGCAGAAAACATCCTGTTTGTTTTGTTTTGATTACAAATTAAAGTAAATTTTTTTCAGTTTCAAATGATGTTTTGCTGTTTAACCGCATGACCAAAAATGATATAAATGCATATTTTAAGTTGTTTGCTGCTATGTGAATAAAATCCAACAAAAGGCCCTGTCGACCTGTCGACCCCAGAGGGTTAATTCTTTTAGGTTTTATGGGTAAAAATAGAGTTTTATATTTTGAAATTATAACTTACAACAAGCAGCATTTATCGGTAATCAAGCAGTTCAGGGATTTAAGCACAAAAGCATCGAAAGGCATTCAATTTTATTTAACATGCATTTATCCATGGACATAATAGATGTAAAACACCATTTACAATCAATACAGTCAATTTAACATTGGAAATGCATGGTTTTAAAGCTTTTTAACAGTTATAGTGCCACCTATGGTCCGATCTCCATGAAACTGTGCATGCTTCTTTGGCATGTTATGAGACATATGCTCATCAATTTTTGTGAAAATTTTGAGTTTTCCTTTAGGATTTATATAAATTTGGGTGCATTTTGTCCCATCCCTTTTGTAAACGACCCTGTTAAAGCCAATCAAAAGCAAAAGTTCTACTTTTTTCGATAATTATTTATCTAGAGAGTCCCGAGAATAGTATTGGGCAAAAAACCAGGGACTAGTTCGCAAAAGTGGGTTTTGGACAAAAACCGCGTTTTAGGGGATTTTTTTTTTCTCACGAAACTTTGCACGCTTCCTAACCATGTTGTAACCAACATTGAAGCTAAGTCAAACGGTCTAGGAGCTATGAGCAATTTAGTACTTTTGGTTGCTGTAGCGCCACCTATGGGCCAATCGGGGTCATACTCTGATAGCTTCTCCACAATTCGAGGCCCTACCATCTGACAAAGTTTCACAGCTCCAGCCCTTACGGTTTGGGCTGCACGATGCGTTTTAGGGGATTTTTTTTTTCTTTCTAGCAAATACAATAGGTTTTTAGCACTTCGTGCTTGAACACCTAATAATGAGAGACCTTTTTGGCGATTATAGCGCCACCTATGATCCGATCCTCACGAAACTTTGCACGCTTCCTAACCATGTTAGGACACATATGCTCACCAATTTTTGTGAAGTTGTGACTTTTTGGGGGGGATTTAGGGGCTTTTGACTGAATTTTGCCACAGACCACTATCTAAATGAGCCTGTTACAGCCAACCAAATGCAAAATTTCAACTTTTTTTCGATAATTATTGATCTAGAGAGTCCAGAGAATAGGCCTAGACTGGTTTGGTCCCGATTGGGCAAAAAACCAGGGACTAGTTCGCAAAAGTGGGTTTTGGACAAAAACCGAAATAACAATTTTTTTTTGCTCCAAATGGAAATCCGAGATATACATCTTGTCCGTCTTGAGCCAGGGATTACAGTGGTGTAAAAACATTGAAGCTAAGTCAAAGGGTCTAGGAGTTATGAGCAAGTTAGTACTTTTGGTTGCTGTAGCGCCACCTATGGGCCAATCGGGGTCATACTCTGATAGCTTCTCCACAATTCGAGGCCCTACCATCTGACAAAGTTTCACAGCTCCAGCCCTTACGGTTTGGGCTGCACGATGCGTTTTAGGGGATTTTTTTTTTCTTTCTAGCAAATACAATAGGTTTTCAGCACTTCGTGCTTGAACACCTAATTAGATCAAGCAGAGGCCACCAGTAGATGAAGCACACTAACATGTTCACTTCCTGTTGTTGTAGATTATCTCAGTGTTTGGTGACAGAAGAAGGTTGTGCTGCTCTGGCATCAGCTCTGAGTTCAAACCCTTCACACCTGAGAGAGCTGGATCTGAGCTGCAATCACCCAGGAGATTCAGGAGTGAAGCTGCTCTCTGATGCTCTCAACCATCTGGACAAACTCAAGTATGTTAAGTTATATAATAATAATCCTGTCTAGTGTGAGTGTTTTTTTTTTTTGTGAGTTTTTTTTTGTTTTTTTTTAAGGGTTAGTTCACCCAAAAATGTATAGTCTGTCATCATTTACTCACCCTCATATAGTTCCAAACCCATAAGTCTTTCATTCATTTTGAGTTATTTCTGTCCCTCCATTGACAGTCTATATTACTACCACTTCAACACTTCAAAAAGTGAAGAGAGATCGTAGTTTAGTCCAAATTTTCTGAAGAGACATGATCGCTTTATATGATTAATGGATTTAATTGACTCTTTTATCCACATATACACATTCATCAACACACACATCAAACTAAACGGAAGCTGTGTTAGAACCAATGAGGTTCATTCTTGTGTTACGCCGTACGTTTGAGCTTCAGGAAGAACCAATGAGGTTCATTCTTGTGTTACGCAGCACGTTTGAGCTTCAACAAGAACCAATGAGGTTCATTCTTGTGTTACGCAGCACGTTTGAGCTTCTGCAAGAACCAATGATGTTCATTCTGGTGTTACGCAGCACGTTTGAGCTTCAGCAAGAACCAATGAGGTTCATTCTCATGTTACGCAGCACGTTTGAGCTTCAACAAGAACCAATGAGGTTCATTCTGGTGTTACGCCGCACGTTTGAGCTTCAACAAGAACCAATGAGGTTCATTCTGGTGTTGCGCAGCACGTTTGAGCTTCAGCAAGAACCAATGAGGTTCATTCTCATGTTACGCAGGACGTTTGAGCTTCAACAAGAACCAATGAGGTTCATTCTAGTGTTATGCATCACATTTGACCTTCTGCAAGAACCAATGAGGTTCATTCTCGTGTTACGCAGCACGTTTGAGCTTCAGAAAGAACCAATGAGGTTCATTCTCATGTTACGCAGCACGTTTGAGCTTCAACAAGAACCAATGAGGTTCATTCTGGGGTTACGCCGCACGTTTGAGCTTCAACAAGAACCAATGAGGTTCATTCTGGTGTTACGCAGCACGTTTGAGCTTCAGCAAGAACCAATGAGGTTCATTCTCATGTTACGCAGCACGTTTGAGCTTCAACAAGAACCAATGAGGTTCATTCTAGTGTTATGCATCACATTTGACCTTCTGCAAGAACCAATGAGGTTCATTCTTGTGTTACGCAGCACGTTTGAGCTTCAACAAGAACCAATGAGGTTCATTCTCGTGTTACGCATCACATTTGACCTTCTGCAAGAACCAATGAGGTTAATTCTGGTGTTATGCAGCACGTTTGAGCTTCAGCAAGAACCAATGAGGTTCATTCTCATGTTATGCAGCATGTTTGAGCTTCAACAAGAACCAATGAGGTTCATTCTTGTGTTATGCATCACATTTGACCTTCTGCAAGAACCAATGAGGTTCAGTCTAGTGTTACGCAGCACGTTTGAGCTTCAGCAAGAACCAATGAGGTTCATTCTCGTGTTATGCAGCACGTTTGAGCTTCAACAAGAACCAATGAGGTTCATTCTCGTGTTACGCAACACGTTTGAGCTTCAACAAGAACCAGTGAGGTTCATTCTTGTGTTACGCAGCACGTTTGAGCTTCAACAAGAACCAATGAGGTTCATTCGAGTGTTATGCATCACATTTGACCTTCTGCAAGAACCAATGAGGTTCATTCTCGTGTTACGCAGCACGTTTGAGCTTCAGCAAGAACCAATGAGGTTTATTCTAGTGTTATGCATCACATTTGACCTTCTGCAAGAACCAATGAGGTTCATTCTCGTGTTACGCAGCACGTATGAGCTTCAACAAGAACCAATGAGGTTCATTCTCGTGTTACGCAGCACGTTTGAGCTTCAGCAAGAACCAATGAGGTTCATTCTAGTGTTACACAGCACGTTTTAGCTTCCACAAGAACCAATGAGGTTCATTCTTGTGTTACGCAGCACGTATGAGCTTCAACAAGAACCAATGAGGTTCATTCTCTTGTTACGCAGCACATTTGAGCTTCCACAAGAACATATGAGGTTCATTCTCTTGTTACGCAGCACGTTTGAGCTTCCACAAAAACCAATGAGGTTCATTCTTGTGTTACGCAGCACGTTTGAGCTTCCACAAGAACCAATGAGGTTCATTCTTGTGCTACGCAGCACGTTTGAGCTTCAACAAGAACCAATGAGGTTCATTCTCTTGTTACGCAGCACGTTTGAGCTTCCACAAAAACCAATGAGGTTCATTCTTGTGTTACGCAGCACGTTTGAGCTTCCACAAGAACCAATGAGGTTCATTCTTGTGCTACGCAGCACGTTTGAGCTTCAACAAGAACCAATGAGGTTCATTCTTGTGTTACGCAGCACGTTTGAGCTTCAACAAGAAGCAATGAGGTTCATTCTTGTGTTACGCAGCACGTTTGAGCTTCAACAAGAACCAATGAGGTTCATTCTTGTGTTACGCCGCACGTTTGAGCTTCAAAAAGAACCAACGAGGTTCATTCTTGTGTTACGCCGCACGTTTGAGCTTCAACAAGAACCAATGAGGTTCATTCTGGTGTTACGCCGCACATTTGAGCTTCAACAAGAACCAATGAGGTTCATTCTGGTGTTACGCAGCACGTTTGAGCTTCAGCAAGAACCAATGAGGTTCATTCTCATGTTACTCAGCACGTTTGAGCTTCAACAAGAACCAATGAGGTTCATTCTAGTGTTATGCATCACATTTGACCTTCTGCAAGAACCAATGAGGTTCATTCTCGTGTTACGCAGCACGTTTGAGCTTCAGAAAGAACCAATGAGGTTCATTCTAGTGTTATGCATCACATTTGGCCTTCTGCAAGAACCAATGAGGTTCATTCTCGTGTTATGCAGCACGTTTGAGCTTCTGCAAGAACCAATGAGGTTCATTCTTGTGTTACGCAGCACGTTTGAGCTTCAACAAGAACCAATGAGATTCATTATTGAGTTACGCAGCACGTTTGAGCTTCAACAAGAACCAATGAGGTTCATTCTCGTGTTACGCAGCACGTTTGAGCTTCAACAAGAACCAATGAGGTTCATTCTTGTGTTACGCAGCACGTTTGAGCTTCAGGAAGAACCAATGAGGTTCATTCTTGTGTTACGCAGCACGTTTGAGCTTCAACAAGAACCAATGAGGTTCATTCTTGTGTTACGCAGCACGTTTGAGCTTCAACAAGAAGCAATGAGGTTCATTCTTGTGTTACGCAGCACGTATGAGCTTCAGCAAGAACCAATGAGGTTCATTCTAGTGTTACGCAGCACGTATGAGCTTCAACATGAACCAATGAGGTTCATTCTCTTGTTACGCAGCACGTTTGAGCTTACACAAGAACCAATGAGGTTCATTCTCGTGTTACGCAGCACGTTTGAGCTTCAACAAGAACCAATGAGGTTCATTCTCGTGTTACGCAGCACGTTTGAGCTTCAACAAGAACCAATGAGGTTCATTCTCTTGTTACGCAGCACGTTTGAGCTTCAACAAGAACCAATGAGGTTCATTCTCTTGTTACGCAGCACGTTTGAGCTTCCGCAAGAACCAATGAGGTTCATTCTAGTGTTACGCAGCACGTTTGAGCTTCAACAAGAACCAATGAGGTTCATTCTAGTGTTACGCAGCACGTTTGAGCTTCCGCAAGAACCAATGAGGTTCATTCTTGTGTTACGCAGCACGTTTAAGCTTCTGCAAGACCCAATGAGGTTCATTCTTGTGTTACGCAGCACGTTTGAGCTTCAACAAGAACCAATGAGGTTCATTCTCGTGTTACGCAGCACGTTTGAGCTTCAACAAGAACCAATGAGGTTCATTCTTGTGTTACGCAGCACGTTTGAGCTTCCACAAGAACCAATGAGGTTCATTCTTGTGTTACGCAGCACGTTTGAGCTTCAACAAGAAGCAATGAGGTTCATTCTTGTGTTACGCAGCACGTTTGAGCTTCAACAAGAACCAATGAGGTTCATTCTTGTGTTACGCCGCACGTTTGAGCTTCAACAAGAACCAATGAGGTTCATTCTTGTGTTACGCCGCACGTTTGAGCTTCAACAAGAACCAATGAGGTTCATTCTGGTGTTACGCCGCACATTTGAGCTTCAACAAGAACCAATGAGGTTCATTCTCGTGTTACGCAGCACGTTTGAGCTTCAACAAGAACCAATGAGGTTCATTCTTGTGTTACGCAGCACGTTTGAGCTTCAACAAGAACCAATGAGGTTCATTCTTGTGTTACGCAGCACGTTTGAGCTTCAACAAGAACCAATGAGGTTCATTCTTGTGTTACGCAGCACGTTTGAGCTTCAACAAGAACCAATGAGGTTCATTCTTGTGTTACGCAGCACGTTTGAGCTTCAACAAGAACCAATGAGGTTCATTCTGGTGTTACGCCGCACATTTGAGCTTCAACAAGAACCAATGAGGTTCATTCTGGTGTTACGCAGCACGTTTGAGCTTCAGCAAGAACCAATGAGGTTCATTCTCATGTTACTCAGCACGTTTGAGCTTCAACAAGAACCAATGAGGTTCATTCTAGTGTTATGCATCACATTTGAGCTTCTGCAAGAACCAATGAGGTTCATTCTCGTGTTACGCAGCACGTTTGAGCTTCAGAAAGAACCAATGAGGTTCATTCTCGTGTTATGCAGCACGTTTGAGCTTCTGCAAGAACCAATGAGGTTCATTCTTGTGTTACGCAGCACGTTTGAGCTTCAACAAGAACCAATGAGGTTCATTCTCGTGTTACGCAGCACGTTTGAGCTTCAACAAGAACCAATGAGGTTCATTCTGGTGTTACGCAGCACGTTTGAGCTTCAGCAAGAACCAATGAGGTTCATTCTAGTGTTACGCATCACATTTGACCTTCTGCAAGAACCAATGAGGTTCATTCTCGTGTTGTGCAGCACGTTTGAGCTTCAGCAAGAACCAATGAGGTTCATTCTAGTGTTACGCAGCACGTTTGAGCTTCAGCAAGAACCAATGAGGTTCATTCTAGTGTTATGCATCACATTTGACCTTCTG